TTGTGGTCCGTGACCGCCTCGAATTTCCGGCCCCACAGGTACTGGTGGAAGCGCTCGACCCCAAACATGAGGGCCAAGCCTTCCTTGTCGAGCTGACTGTAGCGTTGCTCCGCCGCATGAAGCCGACGAGAAGCAAACGCCACAGGGTCTACCTGACCATCCTGACCCCGGTGCGACAGGACGGCTTCTACCCCGTACGGCGACGCATCTACGGTGAGGACTACAGGCTTGGCTGGATCGAAGTGCACCAGCACTGGAGCCTTAACGACCAGCTCCTTGCAGCGCTGGAAGGCCAAGTCCTGCTCTTTCTTCTAGGCCCACAGCTGACCGTCACGAAGCAGGTGATGTAGCGACTCTAGGCGCGTCGACAGGTTGGGCAGGAACCTCCTGTAGAAGTTGACGAGGTCGAGGTAGCTTTGAAGCTCCTTCTTGCTCTTGGGCTTCGGCGCCTTGAGCACGGCCTCAATCTTGCGGGGTGCCGGGGCCAGGCCAGCCTGGGAGATGATGTGTCCCAGGTACTCCACACTTGGGGTCAGGAACACGCACTTGTCCAGCCTTATTTTGAGACCGGCGTCCTGCAATCGTGTCAGGACTTTGCGCAGGTTCTGCAGGTGGTCCCCGTCGTCGGTACCGGTAACCGGCATGTCGTCCAGGTACACCGCCACGTGCTTCATGCCCCTGAAGAGGTTGTCCATCTCCCTCTGGAAGATGGCTGGGGCTGAGGCCACGCCGAACGGTAGGCGCGTGTACTGGAAGGGTCCTATGGTTGTTGAAATGGTAACATACTTCCGGGCGGCATCCTGGAGCACCAGCTGCTGGTAGGCATCTCGAAGGTCGAGCTTGGAGAACTTCTGTCCCCCGGACAGAGCCGACCAGAGATCTTCTACCCGAGGCAGCGGGTATTTCTCGACGGTAGCGACGGGGTTGATGGTGACCTCGAAGTCCCCGCAGATCCTGACGCGGCTGTCTCGCTTGAGGACTGGAACAATCGGTGCAGCCCACTCGGAGGTCTTGACGGGCACCAGGATACCCTCTCGCTGCAGCCGTTGCAGCTCCTGGGTGACCCCGTCCTTCAGGGCGAATGGCAGCGGACGCGGCTTGAAGAACCGAGGCCGGGCTCCCTCGGGTACGTGGATGCCGACCGTCGTGCCGGCAAAAGTGCCCACCCCCGGCTTGAACAGGGACTGGAAGTCGGTCAGGAGGCTCGGGACGTCTTTCACCACGTGCAGGGCAGCTTCCTGGCACTCCGGCAGCCGAACACCCAGCGAGTGAATCCAGTTCCGGCCCAGCAGCGCCGGCGACAACCCCTTGGTTAAGTTAAGGGGAAGGATTGCCTCCCTGTCGCCAAGGCGAACGCTGACTTGGGCCCGACCCTGGATTTGGGAAAGCTGCCCAGAGTAGCTGCGCAGCATGACGTCCGACGCCTCGATGGATACGTTAGGGAAGGTCCGCTTGAACAGCTTCCTGGGCATGACCGACCAGTGTTGCGGAATGGGCACCCCCATTCCATTCCAATTCCATTCCGGGGAATGAGAGTTTTCGATAATTCCATTCCTTTCAACTCCTAGGAATGGGGACACAGGCCCATTCCCACTCCTTGAATGGCTGAATCGTTCCCTTCCATTCCTCTAATTCCTAAACGTTAAAGGTGTCACTTGACAGCTGCATTACGTTGCAGGGTTGGGCATAAATATTCAAAAATGTATTTAGAAATACAAATACTGGGATACATGAAAATTGTTGCTAAGATACCGATACTTAAGTCTCAAATATATCTGTAAAATGTATCGCGATACATATCGGAAATACATTTTAAAAAGAGGCAAAAAGTCTTTGGAAATACAAATACAATAATACATTTTAGGGAGGGCAGAGATATAAATACCGATATTGCAATACATTTTACAAAATTCTTTGAGACGCGAACTGAGATGAGGCTCGAAGTGGAAGTGTTTTTGTTTTTTGGTCTCGAAATTACTTTCCCGCAGGCTTGGCACTTCGCCTTGAAGGTAGTGGTTCCGGACTAAGAGTCCTCGATGGGTTTAAAAAATGTTCCATCAAGTATTGACCGTGGTCCCTTCCCTGGCATCCTGTCTGACTGACCAGTGATGCGAAAAGACATCGACCTCTAAATAAATTCCATCAAAACATCACCACGTCCCTGTCCAATAAGGGCGCCCCTCTCAGCACTGATCACATGACGTCACGGTGGAATGAACTAGTATTCCTGAATCCTGAAGTGTTGCCTTGAGCATGAAACTTTACCCACGCTGCTGTATGAAAGGACAATACGTACTTTCGTTGTAGGCGACCCCGTTGAAGACCATGCAGGCAGCTGCATTTGGAATTTTTGAGAAAAGTGGACCACCTGAAGCATCCTGAAGCACATCTTCTGTTAAGGTTGAAAAATCAATACGGTGGCATCCCTGTTTTGACGGTCCTTCCTGCCAACTCTCCGCCTCCAACGCATGAATGACAGTCTTCAAGTTTCGCCTAGCATCATTCAAACAGAGAACTCGTGGATTGCGACCTGAGATGGCCGGCACAGGTGCGAGCTCTCCGAGAAACAGCGCGCTCGAGACGAGTCGCAGGTGTACGAAGTCTGAATCCGCACAGCGAGGCCACGTCTGGCTTCCTTCCTGGGTATCGGATCACCAGAGCGGGTCACGTTCACGTCGGCTGATGACGTACCCTTGAGCCATTAAATATTGTAGGCGCAGACGCATTCGGATATGTGTTGAACTTCACTGGTGAAAGGCGCCACCGCCGCCTTTCATATTATGTTACTAAACACCCGCACTTCGACAGCAACCCGGTTATTCGATGTGAAATACTGGGACAAGTATTTCACCATCGAATCCCCGGCAACCAAAACTGGAGGCATATCAGAAGCGCGACCGTGCGAATACACAAAGGGCCCAACTTCTTGACCACGAAAACAATAAAAAAATAAATAATAAAAACAACACTTCAGAGAAACCCGCTTGGGGAAGACCAGGCAGGAACGGCACAGAGCCGTTTATACTGAGAGAGTTTGGCCGATGGGCGGAGCTTGTTGGCCGCTAGAACAAGCGGATTTCGCGATAACACAATATGGCGTCACTTCTTTGTCTTGTTCATTCCTGAGAAATCGCGTAGAGTTCCTATGAGTCAGAGCCACAATATGGCGGACGGAAGTAGTCATCCCCCGGTTGTCAGACTACGCTGCTTTGGTTGTCAGACTGTCAAAATCTCCTTAAGAAGGCCAAACTCTCTCAGTATAAACGGCTCTGGAACGGCAGTTCGAGCACGGCAGGAACGCAAGGAGCAGTGGCCACCGAGCACATGGCAAAACAATAGGAGACAAGACCGTAGGTTGATTGCTGCGTGGACGGAGAGAAGGCGGAAGGAGAACTGCCTCCGTCCACGCAAAAAGTGACGTAGGCGCCGTAAGTGACGTAGTGCGTGGCCGAATTCATAGATGTGACTTCAACTGAAGCCGAACTTCGACTTGCTCAAGTCCGCCTCAACACCAAGTTCGACTTGAAAACGCTCAAGCTGGCTTTTACGTTTCATAGACGCTCCCGCGAACTTCCTTCGTCAAGTCCCGTTCAAGTCGCGAGCGCTCGCGCTGCTTCCCGCCTGGGAGCGAGATTAGGTTGCCATTTTTCTCTTAAAAGGAGTTTCAAACGTCAAAAAGAAGTTGGTTCTTAAAATTTTCTTCATAGCATGTCTTTACCATAGAGTTATTATAATAAACGCTAGAGGCTCAGCTGGCGCTAGTGTCTACGGGACTTCCGGTTGCAAATTGAAGCAGACAGCATGCAGTCTACTTTTCCAGTCTTCCTGTATATTCCTATGGGAAAACGCGCGTGAATTTTGTCTCGTCACCGGAAAATCATATCAATTACTTTTGTTATATCGGTTGTACCGGATAGTATGTACCTTTATTAATATTGTGAAAGTGTAATTGCTTTAGTTACAACATTTTTCCTTTACCACTGAACGATGTTAAACTTCGCCAGATTTCAGGCCCAGACCTTTTTTCCATGGCAGGTATGTAGAAACGCGACGATTCTAAGCAAAATAACGATCGAAAGGAATGTAGAATGTGTTCAAAGTTCGCCAGCATTCCGTTGGTGCTTATATATTGTAATATGCATCTTTACGAGTGATTAAAAAAACGTTAGACACGTAAAGAATAAAGTACGTGGGCTACCAAAGGTGTGTTTCCTTATTATTTCCTATGTTGGGAAGTTTTTATCGCGCACCTGTTCTTTGGCTTCCCCCTATTTGCAAAGATTTGGAGCGTGCGGGTGATGATTTGAACACAGAACAACCGTCTTCGCACATATTCATGAGCAGAAAGAATAAAGCAATACTTATTTATTGCAAATCGGACTATATTACGTGACTTTCAATTTATTTTGATCGTCTGCAAGCACAAGCAGTTACTTATTCAGTGTTACTGCATAGTTCTTGCCGTCTCACTTAGTTTTCCACATGTACTTCGTTCGTTTGGCACGTATATCCCTAATGCTGGAAAGCGCCGACGCCGTGTTCGCGCTAACAGTGTCCGACAGTGCGCATAAATACATGTACGAAGCGGTTTTAGCACCGTTTTTCATGCCACGATTTTAAAATAAAAACGCCGTAACTGACCAGTTATTCATCTGCGTGACTGGGAAATGTTCCAATGTGCCTACTAGGTACGAATTATTCGTGATATTTGCTCTTATAATCGAGCGCAGAGAGGAAATGCACTCGCTCTTTTCCGTAGAAATGCATTACCGGAAGTCAATTTCGGACTGCTTGCTGTCTGCTTCAATTTGCAACAGCACACTAGCGCCAGTTGAACCTCTAGCGTACATTCTAATAACTCTATGGTCTTTACGAAACGCAAATCGTGAAAGATGCTGTTTAGCAGGTTTCGAAACTAACGTTGTACGCGTTTTCTAGACAAATGTGCTTTTCCGTCTAGCAACGTTGGCTCATTTGAGTGATGGCTCCTGGCCTGTTTCTCTTCGTTTCACTCGTTGGCGTCCCTCGCTTGTGGACATATTTGGCGTCAAGTGAGTTTCGACGTCTCCTTCATTATGAAAACTCGGGAGAAGCTTGAACTACGATTCACTGAAGACGAGAAACAAATGCTTATCTGGGTTCAACAAGCATGAAAAGGTATTCGAGTGAGTGCCCGAATCCGGTGCCGCGTCCACACGCCTCAACGAAAAAGTTTAAAATCCTCATAGGATCTTCCTACGGGACTCTAGTAACGAAAAAGCGCATGGTACTCCCGATGCGGAAGGTAAAGGACTGTGAATTGAAGCGGTGCTCAAAGCAGGTAAGTGTTCTACAACATTTCCTTACTGCAAACTATGCGGCGTAGTACTCTCGGATATGTAAACTATGCGGCCTGGCTTAAGCGCTCCTTCGGCTGTTTTAAACATTATTTTGTGTTTCTTACATGTTTCTACGAAGTCTTGTTTTAATGGGCGCCACTACATAAAGCGTTGGGCGCGGTGCCTGTGCTTTCGGTGATCGAAACCAGGAAGTAGCTACCGGGCATCATAGTTTTCGCAGCTATGTTTACCTCGTCGGGCTTTCGCGTGCAAAAGCTCAGGCCCAGAACATGTTGTGCATGAGGCAATGGAACTGTCACTGATGTTTGGTGCGGAAAGGCAGTGTTGTGAACCTGCTGTAACCAAGAAAGCTCTCTTTAAAATTTTAATTTTTCTAATTTCTATTTGATCATTTCGGCTGTTAATAGTCTCGACGCTGCCACTCTCTCATTTGTGACAGCCGTGGATTGAAGTCAAACCATTTTATACGGTTTGCAGAAGTCTCCTCCCTAAAGATGGAGTCCAGGAGCAGGAGTAGCACCTTAGGAAATATTAGCTTTGTGGTTACATCTTGTATATTTCATATAAGTACCTTACATAAACTTTTTTTCTTTTTTTTCTTTTTTTAGGAAGAGAACTGCTTTTTCAGCCAGGTGAATGCGGTCTGGGCTGGACATAATTTCCAGGCAAGTAAATGAGCATGGTCATGTTGTGCCCCCTGTCCACAACGAGTCAGTGTGCTGCTGCAGCCAATGGTGCACTGGTAGGAAGGGGAACCCTCTGTTGAGCAGGAGAAAGACGAAGTAACGAGGACATGAGTAAAGCGCTCAAGCTGTTCAATGCAGCTGCGTGCTGTGGTTTCGTAAAAGGGCACTTTAGGGCTAGGCGACTTCCTGGTAAATGTCTCTTGAGCATTACAGGTCGTACCCATTGTCTTCTCATAAATGAGTGACTATGATGCCTGGGAGTACCACATCAATGTCAGCAATGCTGCAAACGAGTGAACTAACAGCAAAAAGCATCTCTTCCCGCTGACGTGACTGCAGAAATTTGCTTTTATGGCCTACCGTCGTATGGATGTGGAAGGCCGCTCATCGCTCTTCCGCCTGTGCGACCATGTCTCAGAGCTGCAGCTGCTTCACTGATTGAAAGGTTGTGGCTGCCCAATTCTGCATGTGACACACTGTTCCAGAGATTGGTGTGACATGTTTCAGTAGGGCCAGACATTCTACTTGTTCATAAAAACATATGCCAGACTGTTTCAAGACAACTGTGACACCCTGATCGTTTGTCGAGTTCAGCGACAACCATCAGTTTGTCGCTGTACTTTTCAGTGCCGTGTTTATTTGGCTGCTTGAACATCTTTGGCTATAGCAGTAAATGCTCGCACCACTGTAATTGTTTAGTAGGAAGTCATTTAGGACCCGAGCCATTTTTGTTACGACCATGGCCCTCCTCTCGGGTCCTCGTCACATTGTTTTTCTTCTGCGCCACACAACCATGAAGCTTGTGACACACTAGTTTGCATTCACAAGCTTACGACTCGCGCAACGTCTAAGCTTGGAAATATATAAGCACCCTGAATAGCTGCTTAGTGACTATGAAAATTTGCATAAACTAGAAAACCTGATGACTGAATTAGGGTGGTTAGTTGGGCGAGTTGGTAATGATAGAACATGGCTAAATTTGTGCACAAATAGAAAGGAGCAGAGGAGAGAAAAGAGACAAGCACAAACTCACAACTCAATGTATTGAAGGAAGAAAAAAAAACAGCCTGCAGTTACAGCTCAAGCTGTTACTGCAGGCTGTTCGTTTTCTTCCTTCAATACATTGAATTGTGAGTTTGTGGTTGTCTCTTCCATCTCCTCTGTTCCTTTCTATTTGTGCACAATTTTAAACTGGTGACTGAAATGCACTCAATGGGGACCACCATGAGATAATTTGTTCACCAGCACAGTTATTTCCTATATATAAGCACAAGCTTGCACTCCTTCCATTTTCCTCAACTGCCAAATGTATGTGCAGCATTTGGTGTAGGCTATACGAGGTTGGTCAGAATGATTTTTTTTATAATTTAGCATCTCAGCTATCTGTAAACAAAACTTGGAGTCTTTCAGGGCCTCTAGATGTGCAGTGCCACCTCCAGAAAATTATTTTGTGTGTGCCCGTCGGAGCCGCATGTTGGGATATGTATCTAAATAAGCAGCTCTGGTCTGTATGTTTGTTTGTCAACAGCTTGAGCCATCCTCTTTTTGCAGGTTTTATGTCGGCAGTGTTTCATGATGACAAGCAAACAAGGAGGCTAATGCACAGGTTGCAGCCATTAAAATTCTTTTATTTTTGAAGTGGGACAGCAATATTAAGGCTCATGTATTTCTGAGGGTGCAGCGAGTAATGAAACAGAAACAGAGGAAGCAATACGTTCCACCATATTTTTAGCACAGGGTTCACATTAGTTGTAAACACAATCAAGAAAAGAAAACGGGTATTTTCACCGGGGAAAGAAACACGCAGGACACAGCATTCACGAGGCATGCCACTTAGAAATGCAAGAATCAAAGCGAAAATAACTTGTAAAATAATGAAAAAAAGCCTGATCCCATAATGAATTAGAAGATCACGAAAATGCAAACAAGACAAAGATGGAGAAAGGTGTGCATATGAAATGGATGGTCGCTTTGCATACCTTCCTTCATCTTTATCTTATTTCCACTGTTTTAGGTTTAGGTCCGTATGCCCAAGCAAAGCATAAATCGCATCATATTTGTGATAAGCATCAGATAGACAAAGCATTTCAGTTAGGGATTATATGAATGATTGTGATTAATGAACTGTGGCTCACTATGTGCTCAAAAGTTTGAAAATTCACACACCGTGCAACATACGTATTATCCCCATTTTATTGGCGCCACGAGGGAGGGGGGTCCTATACAGTACCGCTCTGACTTTAGTCTGCTTGTTTTTCTACCCCTTTCAGGTGGCAGTTGCACTGATCTTCTCAACAATGCCCCCTGGCTGGCATGACTGGCAGAGAAGCAAGGATGGCTCATTCTCCTTAGGTTGCGTGATGCTGTGCACGGAGTGATCATTTCAACTACCTGACGAGTATAGTGCCCGGAGCGAGTCTTCGACTGGTGTTTTTAGCCTCCTTTGCTGCCCATACATCAAAAGTGGTCACGAAGAGGCAACGAATGACATCACAGAAGCCGAAGTGTCACGCTGTTGCATGTTGCGATCCTGGCGGTTGGCCATTGAAATGTTAAAGAGCAGCTGCGAGTACCACGAGGCGAACGCGAGTGTCGCTGTTGTCACGGCGTCCCAACCACCGGCTGCTGGAGCTTCAGTGGACTGTCGAACTGGAGAGTGACCTGAAGCAGAACAGGCGTCTGCCACATCAACCACCGCTGCTGGGACACCGCCAGAATTGCGACCGGCGACAGCATTACACTTGTATGACGCACCAGGCAGAAATTGAGGGACCACTTCTTTGGACACTGTAGACACACCAGTCGGAGATGCATTCCAGGCACCATACCTATACAGTGCCACTCTGACTTCAGTTTGCTTGTTTTTCTACCCCTTTCAGCTGGCAGTCGCACTGATCATCTCAACATTGTCCCCTGGCTGGTATGACTGGCAGAGCAGCAAGGATGGCTCGTTTTCCCTAGGTTACGTGACGCTGCGCACATAGTGATGATTTCAACTACCCAACGAGGCATGGGGATCGTCTTTTTCTTTCAGCAGTGTTGCGAGTCTTTATCTGGGCGGTGTTGTACCTGAATGAGTTAATAAATGTTACGAGTCAGAGAGACAACATATGATGTTTTCAAGAGTTTGACAAATTATCATCCCAACATCTTCATTATGGAGGTTGCATGCAGATAATACGTGCATGGGTGTGAAGTTTAGTGCGAGTTAACAATCATGAAAAAGGTCGACTCATTTTGTCTCGCCTTTATTGCAATGGAAGAATTGTGATGTATTTTTTTCTTCACGAGGCAATAATATTTTGATTGTGTACACAAAAGTATTGTGCCCTCGAATCGAGCTTGGTGCAAACCTGTGCATAGTAATAAATATTTTAGAGCAAAAAAAAAATAAATAAATAAACCGGTGGCTATTGTTTCATTAGATATTGTTTCGGGGAAAGTTGGTAAACACTCCTCAGCACAGTGCTAAACAATGCTTTCGGCACATCCATTTGTCAAATGTTGCAGAAATCTTAAGAAAAGAAGATATTCTTTCTTTCAGCAAAGCCTTTCGACAAACTTCAAGTGAGATGTAATTCGAGGAGTATAATGTTTTGTGATGAACAGCTACTGAACAAATACAGTAATGAAACAACACGTCAAAACTTGTTAAAAAAAAATTGTTGAAATGTGTGGCATCTGTAAATGGATCAGAGTGAGTTTTCAGCAGCTATATGACCAATTTTGTTCTAAGCAGCCATTAGACCCTTCAGAGATCACTTGAGAAGTTGAAATGCATGGCAGCACCAAACTTGAAAGCATTCCTGATTTTCCATATTTATTTTACTGACGCAAGGGGCAAGTACATACTACACGTCATTTTTTAAGCAAGTAATCCAGCACAAACAACAAAGAAGTGGGAATAACTGCTGCAATAAAGTGGAGATTTGGGCTAGTTGGTTCATTGCAAACAAAAAAGCGCCGAATAAATGCAGGGACACAGACGAAGGGAAACAGGACAAGGCGCCTTGTCCTGTTTCCTTTTTTGTGTGTCCCTGTATTTTTTCGGCGCTTTTTTGTTTTTAACAACTGCTAGCATGCATACAGGGAATGTTACATATTAGGGGTCAAGAGCTTGCACCAGTAAACGTGCGTGCACACCACACATGCTTGCTCAGGTCCTTCGCGCCAGAAGCTTTGGAGGCTTGTTTATTTTCGGTAAACGGGGTAACCCACCTGATAGTTTATGCAAGCAACTCCTTTGAAGTTCTCATAAATGTCCGCATAATCGCCACCGGGGCCCGGGCTCCTGATACACGCGTGCGTGAGCCCGGTTACTCGAAGGAGGCGGATGATTTCGGGAGCGCCGGGGAAGTGGACGAATCCGAGCCGTCCGAGCGACAGATGCCTTACGGTGAGACGCGTCACTCTCCCGATAGCACCGCACGCCGTCCGTTGTGAAATGTTGACAGCTAGAAACATCCTGCCAGGAAAAGTCGCAGCGTGACGAGCAACTGTAGTTTTGGTATCAGCGGCAGCCGCCTGCTATCGCCGTTCGGATCAGGCGGTCAAGTCGCGGCCGAGCAGCTCCCGCGCCGTTGCCGTTCGTTGTCGCACATCCCGGTGGGATGCATTCGATCACGGAAGAATGGCCGCTTCTCTCGGCGAAAAATACCCGTCACGGAGGGCAACACCGCAATTACAAAACACAAATATTGGACGCGGCGATCCCATATGCGACATCACATCATCAAGCCGCCATGTTGAAATGACTACGAAGTCGCGTTCAAGGTAGGAGGCTCTGGTCCAACCCAGTCTTGAAATTTGGGCACATCAAGTTCGCTTCAAGCTCCGTTCAAGATCGGTTCAAGTTAAGGTGCGTTTATGAAGCGCGCTTGCTCGTCGCAAGACGGACTTGAGCAAGTTGAAGCTCGACTTCAGAGCAAGTCACATCTATGAATTCGGGGGAACTCCTCCCGACGTGGCTACATCCCCGCGCGTGGATGTAGACACTCCCAAAAGTAAAACGGCCAGTCCGTTGTATATGGCAGCAACTTCTCCGCTGCAAAACCTATGCTGGCAACGTAAGCGGTTATATGGCAGCCTCCGCTTTGCTTTGCGCCGCGTTCCCTTTCCCTAATTCTCCCCCCTCCCCCCCCTCCCCCCTTGCAACGTGCGCCGTCGAACACTTTGGGTATGGGCTTTGGATTGGTTTTGGATCCGTGTCCGCAGGACAGATGGATAGTAAAAAAACACGACGCTACCCTGGATAAGGCCTTAACCGTGGACGGTACCTATCGCCCTCTTGTGGCGGTGCAAAATACCGCCAGCAACGGTTTTACAAAAAAAAAAAAATTAAATTTTGTATACAATTTTTTTGTAAACTTTGAAGTAAGATTCGTAAAATCGTAAAATTAGTCCCAATTCGTACATTTTACGAAAAATTCGGAAGAGTTGGCAGGTATGGTCTGCGTTCATGTTCAAAGCATACATATTACGTAAACAGCAAACATGCTTCAAACATGATTGAGGCCGCGTCCGCGGGTAACTCTGTCATCGCGTCTACAGTGAACACAGCGTCTTTTGTGTCATGTATTCGCGACTCCAGCGACCTGTAGGGGGCGCCACCACCAAAGAAACATGGCGGCTGAGTCCAGGTCGCGTTGGCTCGGCCGGGCTGCCTGAACAGGTGGCGCGTTCAATTTAACCGATTTTCTTATGTTTAATGCCCAATTTTATAGGTATTTGAACTGAGACGGTTAAGTGTAGCCGGTGCACATAAACTTGCAAAGCATAGTTTTGTTTTCCCGGTGTTTTTTGTTCTTTTCATATCAAACTTTCGTTTCGAAAATTTCGTTCGAAACCGAAACTATGGGCTCCGGAGAGACGGTAATATACTAATCAGTTTTGATCATCTAAGGAAAGTGGCGATGACTACAGAATTGTTCCACCGAGAGTAATTTTCAGCCAATTAGCATGCCTCGACCATACGACTTATCTGTCCGCGAAATCGAACTTTTGTGCGTATCCGCGTTTAAGAAACAGCTCCAGTCATCTGCTCGGTCAACAACACAGGCTGCAGGAAAATTACGAAAATTAAGCAAGCGCTTCTTGAGCCAAAGAGTATGTTAACCCGCTGGCGCCCCACTAAGTAGCTGATACTCGTATTTCAATTCAGGTTTTAGTAGCAATCGAGAAGTCATTTTGACGAGCGGGTTATGTATTATATTACGCACTATGTCCCACTAAAACGATATTAGTATATTTTTCGGGTTGAAATATGAGCTTAGTTCACTACCTATTAGGCGAACTGCTGAACAAAAATATATTTGACAGACAGAGAGGCTACTTAAACTTAGCCAAATGGTTCTAGCCGGCAGCACGAAGACAAACTGAACAGAGTCTTCATTGGAGATTCACGCAGAACCTCTCTGCATTGAATTTTGCTTCGAATCCTGAACGGAGAAAATGAGTATATTTTGTGGCCGGTCAACCTGAGGAATGCAGACGTATATTGCTGCTGGCTTCAGTGGGGGTATAATATAAATGTTGAGAGGCGCGATAGATCAAAATGCCGTGACAGCTTCTAACGTTGCGAGACTCGTCCCTCGCCTTTTAAAAACAGATAATTTCCCTCATTCATCATTTGCAGCGAGCAGGTTTTCCTGAATCAAGTAATTGCGAAATCAGCCAAACTCTTTCAGTGTGGTCCAGAGGCTTTTTCGGCGAAAAACAGCCAAGATGAATAGCCAACGCACCGACCGGCGTGGGTGGCTCAAACTTGAAGCTAACCGAATACAACCAAACTTTAAAAAAAAAAAAAAAAAAAAAAAAAGCAGCTATCGAACTTTTTCATTTACTTGACTGCAACATTGGTGTTCCCTCCAGTGAAATGCCTCGTCTGTCGTCCTCCCACTGTTCTACATCCTTATGAAGAAACCACTCGTCAGTTACCAACTAGTCGTCACTTTCAATGTGGTTCGAGACAGACAAGAAATCAAAACGTTTTTCCGTGATTCCCCCCCATCCAAGAAATCGAAAGCACGCGACCGTGTGCTTCGAATGGGCTTTCAAAAACGTGATGGAAGGAAACAATCTACCGAGGCTTCACCACAGTAATGAACTCTCAGCAAACTTAAGAAATGTTCGGACCAATTAGTCAATATACATTGTCCACCACCGCGCCGACAACACGTGTCCGCGAAAGCCACCGGAGACGCGGAGGGGCGAGGAGCGACCTGGACCGGCGGGTTCCCGGTTTTCCCACTTGGCGTCCGTTTTGCTGGAGTCGCGAATAAGCAGTGGGGTTCACCTGTCTTGGTTCAACACATGACACATCTCAACTGGTAACTTGCTAGTCCCAATAATGCTTTTCCCATGAAGTTATAGGAGGTATTCACTAGACGCCATATTTGAGGTAACTGCTGACAGCGCATGCCCGGGAAGAGTTCCCCGTCAGCTCTTGGGCAACCGCTCGAGAAGAGGGGAAGGAGAGATCCTCTCATCACCAGGATTCTCCTTTGTAGGTCCCAGGCTTCTTCAAACGTCACTATTCTCCCTCTAGAAGATTAACTTGCCACTCAAAACTCGTACAAAAGCATATTTCTCCTCTCTCTCTTCTCTGGCGGTAAAAAAAGCAGCAGCGAGCTCAGCTATGACCGCCAGTGAATACTCCCTATTGAATTTTTAAATATTGCCCGAAGCACTCTACTGGCAACACTGAAAACATGCCCTCAAATGTAATAGGGGGAGTATTAATCTCCCTCTGTACTGAAGGTAGCACAATATTGTCTGGGCTGGGAAAAAGAAGTTTCCTTCTAAAACACCTTTTATGCTGAATCAACATCTTTCTTGGGTCCTGGTATGTGCCTTAGGCATGCCACCGCATTATATATACGCAGGGGTCCAACTTTGCATTCTCGAATCTGGCAGCCCTTTACAGATCTTAGTTCATCGGATCTTGCTTGTAAACAAATATATTACCACAGTCCTAAATGCTCCTTCTAAGTGGCAGGCATTTATGAACCATATGTGTGCAAACCTATCAGACACAGAAACCTCAAATCATCGGTCATCACCACAGCCCAGTTTCACCAGTTTATTAAATGCCCAGAAACCAAGCAAAACCGTAATCAAGCAAATGCTTTTGCTAATACCATCAACGCAATGGGTTTATGAATGGCTATACAGTTCTGGTGGCCCATGAAGATGTCATCCTGATCATAGTCACATCTGAAAACGCGAATAGACCAATCTCACTAAGCGTGCCATGCATGCATGACGACGCTCAACTGTAGTTCACCGGAAGCACCCGACAGTGCACGAGGTGGCACGTGCCTTCTTGTGCCGACCTGCAGCAGGGTTGTCATGTGGGCAGAATGACTACAGTTCTCACAATGCATGCCAGCAGTGGAAACTGGCTGGAGAAATCGGTCTATTCACACTGGCAACTGGTGCAAACAAGATGCACGAAGAGGAAACAAAGCTATTGCAAGCATCAAGATAGAAAGCCAAATTCCACTGCTCCAAATAAGAAATGCAAGTGGGTGTGCTAAAACGCTTGAGCCAGAAAACACTCAGTAATTGCATTTTGAGAGCAACATGTCTGCAAAAAACGACTTCAAAACCAATTTATCCGAAATTTGACAATTTGAAAGCGAGTGCATCAGAATAAAATTTTTAGTGTCAGTATAAAACAGGCCCCATGCTAGAAAAAACGATTTCGCAGCCTTTAACAAAATATTACAAAATAAAAAAAAACAGTACAAAGGAAATATTTTCCTGTTTTACCTTTAAATGTGCAATGTGAGAATTCTTTTAGCATGGTTTTAAGGCTTCCAGGAAGTATCTATGCAAGAATACAAAGGAAACTATATTCTCTGTAAGCCTATGTAAGATAAAAATTAAGCAAAAATATTTTTATGCCCTTCACAAATGTAAAACAACACAGAGCAATTTGAAAGTGACAACCAGTTTTTGGGTTTGTATAACTCAAAAAGAGACAAAACAAGACAAGCTCAATGCACCAAGCTTATGCAGACAACTGTTGCCCTCATTTGTTAGTACAACATATGGCACTCAGGATAACCATACAGTTGCACTTAGAGCAAGTGAATGTTTAGCAGGAATAAACAAAAATAACTAACCTTACGAAACTCATATTTGTTGAATAAATATTGCACACAGATGATTACCTCAAATGCTAACTTTTGTATGCAAAATGTTACGTGGACTAAACCGTGACAGCAAACACTGGGAATGTCTAATTCCACACTGAAAAAAAGTAAGAAACATAACACCTGTAGGTTTTTAGAGATCATACGCATAAGGACATGAGCAAATTATGCAGTTTTTATGCAATGCGAGCCTTGCACAGCCTTTCAAATGTGAGAACACAATTAAAATGCTTCACAATTCAGGTAATAGAACACAATGCAGAGAAATGCTTACATGTCAAGCAAAAGTAACAAACATTTTTGGAGTTGGTGCAGATCAAAGAGCATCTGGAATGATTATTTTCTTCACAAGCTTCTGCAGTTCTCGCAGTACCCTCAGATGTGATTTCTCTTCCGATGCATGTTCAGAGTCACTTTCTGCGAGAACGCCCTTCCACAGGTCTCGCACTGGTACGGTCGCTCTCCCGTGTGAACCCTCTCGTGACGCCTCAGGTGCGACTGCCGCGAAAACGCCCTCCCGCACATGCCACACACAAAAGGCTTTTCGCCCGTGTGTATCCTCTCGTGATCTTCCAGGGCATTCCTCTGTGTAAAAGTCTGCTGGCATACTGGGCACACGAACGGCCTTTCGCCCGTGTGCAGCCTTTCGTGCCTCAGCAAGTTTGCCTTTTGCGAAAACGCTTTCCTGCAGAAGCGGCAGCTGAAGGGCTTCTCCCCAGTGTGCGTCCTTTCGTGATCGGTGACGTGCGTCGCTTTATGGCTCTCAAAGGAGCAGTAACGGCACTGATACCGGTCTCGCTGGCTCGTCCGGTGCTGCTGCACGTTCAATCCGTCACCTTGAGAGAGGTCGCTCTTGCAGTCAATGCGCTCCTGTTCGTCTTCCAAGTCTGCTCGAGTGATGAGAAAAAAGTAGACAAGATGAAGGGGAAAGAACAATTTATCACTTGATTAGAGGAACTAAAAAAATGTGAATCTATAGTCAATGACAGAGTGAGAACGACAGGGAGTGTCCAATTCCCAGCTTCCAGCATGAGCTTCGTTTTCCATAGTGCTTTAGCTTTCCGTGAGCTCTCAAGGTGCACGACAGGAGTGTTACCGAAAGCAGGAAGCTCACGCTGGAGGTGGGACAACTGAAGCCCCTCCCTGCTGTTCTCACCTTGGTGGCAACTATAGGACTTCTTGTTTCAATTAGAAGTTGCAATGCATAGACTTTTTTATTTGGTACAACGAAATACAATTTATAAAATTAGGAAGAATTATTAGGATTAAATTATCAGCTTACATTTGCAACTACAACGATGCGACTTAAATCATGGGGAATCGTTGCCTAGCGAATTCACAATAGTTTTGGTCCCAATGTTCGTACATGAATTTACAGGATACTAGAAAGTCGGCTGAGAACTATATGGATAGGGCTGCTTCCTAGAGTGAAGATTCTTAAATGTTTCAAATATTGGCTGCTTACTAGAGTGAAGATACTAAAATGCTTTAGATTTCCTTAAATTCTGATAAGACCAAGCCACAAATTCATGTGGTAGTCTCGGAGGCTTTTCTGCCGACACTGGTACAGCTGTCAGCTGTTCCTGTAAGAGCTGGAAAAACTACGAGGTGTTTTGAATGCCCTACAAGATTTGAGCACAGCATCACCATCTGCTTCTATTAGTAGGCTCCTTATTCAATGTGGTTGGTTACCCCCTTAGAGACTTGATTGCAGTCAATTTAGGTCAGCTTTTAGAGCAGCCAGAAAGTGAATTTGGAGCAGCAAAAAAGCTTTTTGAAGCACTAGTGTCCTTTATACTTCCCCGAGAATATGACGCTAAGGTTTATGTTTTCCCATGTGCAACTAAAAGGCAATGCCTTTCCTGCCTTTTCCTTCTGAGCCTTCCAACTTTGGCATCAATTGCACATCTACTTTGATTCCCTTAAAATCTCAACTAGCTGTTCTAGCTGTGCTTTAAAGGGGTACTCCGGCGATTTTTTCATGGTCGCTGATTTGCCTCAAAATTGGCTCAACACACCGATAAACATGGCTCTACGAGTTCCCTAAGTATTGTGTGAAAAGAAAAAAAAATTGCGATGTTATTGAATTTTCGAATTTCGTTTTCATTGTGTTTCTCAAATCGGGAGCCCCTACTGGCAACATTGAAGTGTGACGACAGAAATGGTATAAAGTGGGCAGTAAGCCATGTTCCCAACTGATTGCGAGACGTTTGATGGTGGGAAAAGAATGTTTCGTAACTGATTCACTGAGAAGCACGCAAAAAACACTCGACATACTCTGTTTAAGACTACATGCACGACCTGAAAGTCTGTACCGTGTGATGTCACGCCACTGAGGAGCGCGCGAAAATTTGAATGCTGGTTTCGGCATCATTTTCATTTACGGTTTTCTCAATTGCTAGTTTTAATTTCGAGAAAATAAATACCATACCATGACGACTGAAGTCCGGGTAGTCAGAAAATGCAATTTGCTTAGGTAGCTCAAAAACGGCCGGAGTATCCCTTTAAAGGGGCGGTGCAACCATTTGCGAACTTTGGCTAATTAATTGCGGGAATTGATCCCGGCCACATATAAAACGAAGGACCGAAAACTATTCTTTTCTGCTTGCCCTAGTTTTCATTAAAAAAAATAAAAGAAATTGGTATCTCTGGCACCCCTCAACTCAACATTGAAGCGGCACCAGCTTCGCCTGTGACGTCATTCGGAGTGGCGTTGGTTTCCGGTTGGGTTCTTCTGGCTCCTGTTTCCCCAGCGCTCGCCGGCTCGCCAGGCCTCGCCGCTCTCCCACTCTCCTGCCGATTCCCGACCAACATGGCGGCATGGGCGGACGGCCTGAGCGACGTCGAGCGCAAGATGCTTGCGACGCGGCGGGCAGTCGAAGTTGAAGTCGAGGTCGAGACACCAGGAACAATAACGATACCACGATACTACGGACCACGACCAACGCACTCCGTCGAGCGAGGGAAAGACAAAACGTCCGGGTTGCTCGTGTAGCCGCCGTAGGCGCCTCGGGCGTCGACGGATGTCGGCGACGGCAGGTTTTGTTGACTTGCGGTAGATGGCGCCAAAAATAATTCATACCCTTTTAGCGGCAATATTAGGCTTTTGAAGCGTTTCTGCATGCCTAAACAACAAGATTTTTTAAACTTAACCTTAAATCAAGCTTACAATTGCCTACCACTATCACTTACAAAAACCACTCCGAATGACGTCACACCACAGGTTCCATTTGCGGCCACCATGTGGCCGCAGGTTGGGAAAAAAAGTGTTTTTTATTTTACGATTACGCAGCGAAATAGAAGTATTTTGGGGTATGGTGGCACTTTTTCTCTTACTCATGCCGAAGTAAACAATATAAAATATACGAGCTGCACATTCGTTCAGTGTTAAAATCATTGCACCGCCCCTTTAAAGCAAAATACAAGATCTTGACAATAAGGACCATTAGTTTCGCTTAAGGGTGATCGCAACAGCTGCATTTGAAACATCAGTGATGGAAGCGGCATTCAACCTTTTGTAGCAGGCAAAATATTGGTTTGGGGCACCTAGTGACACTTTTAAAGCACATGCCAATATGTGATAGCACATCACTTAAAAATGAAACAGAGATTGCATCACCAAATAAGCAAGCCTCTGGTCAGACAGAGTGGGTTCCATTTACAATGGGTATTAAAAAAAAATGTAAAAAAATGGCTCATAGTGCAACACTTCACTTGCGATAAAGCCTCTCTCTCCCTTTTCTCTATCACTTGTTAGTTTATTTAGCCTGTAAATATGCGTAAAATGCCAACAAAATCCAGCAGACGGCTAACATGTATCAATAAAAAGGCGTCCCCCAAATTTTATGAACCTACCAAACTAAACTCTAAACATCAAAAACTGGCAAAACAACCACCCACAAATATTATAAAAGACTACACTGGTGCTCTAAAGGGACACTGCCCTTTCGATTGCCAGCTGCACACAAACTACCTTGACTATCGCGACTATTCTAATATAGGCCTGTGTTTTGTTTTTCTCTTTCTCAGCACAGCTTTTTTTTTTTTTTAATTAGGGATCAACTTGCATTGAAGACCAAGGAAGGTCAAATTGTAATAACACTAAGCATAATTTCCACCCCTACCACATTATCCAGACGCTTCCCCATGTTAGCTGCTGCTCCTAACACTCAGGTACAAAGCGGTGAAGATTGACGCGAGCGTGCTGATGAGAGGTGGCAAAGGTCGACACAAGTGCCCTGTTACACTGCAGCCGCAGCACGGAGAAATGCAAGACACAATAATTGAGCGATTTCATTGGATGCACAAGACACCAATTCTGTCTTATCACAGTAGCTGCGATCCTACAATTTTGCAAAGCTTTCTCACAGCTTTTAACTCCCAACGTCGTTTGGAAGCTTAGACAATGTCGGCGAACGACGGCCCAGCACACCAACCGGCCGGTTCCGCCTTAAGCCGAGGCGCAGCAGTAGTCGATTGCAATTCAAGAAAGTAGGGCGAGGGAAAGGAGGGCTGGGGAGGAGGAAGCAGATGAAATGCTAAAGGAGGAGGTTCCCCTCTCCAGCATTCCATCTGCTTCTCCCTCCCCAGCCTCCTATCCCTCGCCATACCTTCTTCAGCTGCAACTTACTCTAGGTGACAGTGAGTCCAATCAAACAGCTTCAATGCGCGACATCACGGCATTCATAATCATCTTGTATGTGTTATTGCATGGACCAAACCAATCAAATGCAACAAATGTCTCGTTACTTGCACTTTTAGTATGTGTTTAGCTTGTTGCATGGTTTCAAGTTTGCGACTGTGCTCCGATTTAAGGTGAAACGAACTACATTGTGAGTAGATGCTCGGTGAAATACACATTTGTACCATTTTCCTTTCCTCTACTGCTCTGAATATTGAAATTGGTGAATAATAAACTATATCTAGTTCTTGCTTTGTTTAAGCCTCTTTTGATGCAGGTATAGCACCATTCTTAACACAAAAAAGCATTTAAGCACAAGATGTAACAGACTTTGGTTCATAAAGAACATGAAAAGAACATCTGGGAGTGGTTATTTTAAGTATAGAGTCAAACCAAATAGTTTCCATTAAACAATGTTAAAATGTAATCAATTTCAGAACTGGGTTGAATTCTTTATTCAAGTTCTGGACAGGTGCAAGACAAATTCTCCTTTTAGGTAAAACAAAACAATTGTGATATAGTTGAGTTTCACTCACATATACACATTTGCATTATCAGAATGCAAAAAAAATCTGGGTAATAAACTGGCCTACTTTATAAAATTAAACTGAACTCACTCGTGACATTAACCCTTTAAATGCCTTAGACGAGTTGAGCTTGTAGGCCACTTTTTGGCTAAAAATGCCATGGACGAGCTCATCTCGTCCAGTGGTTTTTTCGGTAGCCCTCAATCCCACGGACAAGCTAGGCTTGTCCAAGTAGTTTTTGCGGCGCTGATCATAGATGGCAGCACTCGTTTTAGTTGGGGCATTTGTTTTTTCGCCGCCGCTGATTTCTGTGTAATAAACTTCTGAAATTTTATCTGTATTACTAGAGGAATAAAACTTCTAAATAAAAAATATATGGCACTTTTAGGCTACTTTTCGAAAAAGAAAAGGGGCACTTAAGAGGTAAGTAGTAAGTGAATGACAAATTTTATTAAGTGCCTCCTCAATAATATATGTAACAAAAATTATAAATCCATTTTGATATTTTAAAGGCAAACTGAGGTGTCCACGGATGTCGACATTAGTGCTGAGGGTTATGGAAGTCATAAAAGCAATTCTTTGCTAGAAGGCAAAGAAACACATTGCATTTCATGCATTTAACTCTAGTTTTTCTCTTGCAGTTCTTGTTCCTGCATCGCATAGCGTAGAGAAGTTTGGC